ACTTTCGCCTCTGGACCCCCAAAGTAAGGCTGTTGTTGGGGTGCAGACTTGGCCACCATGTTCCTCATCAGGCTTCTCTGAGCTACTCTACTGTCTCACTAGGTACAAGGACAACCCCTTTTCCTTGGGGGAAAGTTTCAGTTCCCGCTGGGATACAGATACCGCCTGGGGTATGGACAGGATGGAGGAGAAGGAGCCAGAAGTGACCGTCTCAAGCATCCGGCCTATTTCAGAAAGGTGGAGTGGGCAGGGGCAACACTGTCCAGTAGGATTTTTCTGTGGTGATGGAAATTCTGTACCTGCACTGTCCAGTGTGATGACCACTGACTGTGTGCCTACTGAGCTCCTCAGATGTGGCCATTGTAACTGAAGAACTGAAACGTGTAATTTAATTTTAATAAATTTAAGTAGCCACATGTGGCTAGTGGCTACCAGATTAGGTAGTACAGGAATTAGGCTTTGGTTTGAATTTTGCTTTATCATCACAGAAAGCCTAGCAGCTTCTTTTGTTCAAGATCTGTTTCTCTGGCAAGAGGGGCCTGATTTTGTGCTTCAGTCCTGAACACTCAGGGGTATGTGTCTCTGGCCACCATGTTCCTTGTTTTTTTAAAAGCCTATTTTATGTCAGTCTGGGCAATGTTTAACTCACAAATTACCCGCACAACATTTGTAAAATGGGGGACATAAGTAATGACTTCACAGGGCCGTTGGAAGGATTAAAAGTAATGAAACTTACAAAGCACCTAGGCCAGTGTCTCTGCTCGTCAGTGGTAGATAGGAGTGATCATACACTTTTAGGTCCACACTGGGATGCTTTTGAGAGTGGAAATGCCACAAGAGTAGGTATAAACTCAGGCCAGCTGAGACATATGGTCACTGTAGTGTTAGGCCACTTGTAACTAGGAGTAGACTGGCAGTAGTGATCCTAGGACATCCGAGACTTTGACGAAGCTCTAGTGGTTTGGGGCAGAACCCTAATGTATTTCCATGCCGCCTAGTAGAGTGAACGTAAGCTGTCTGTACCTTGGCTTCGGTGTGGAGAAGAGAAGGGCCTTGTCCAGGGGAGAGGGCCCAGAGCCATAGCCAGATGGGCCATTGTAAGCATCCCCAGAAGGCCACTGGTGCTTTTTTTGGCCTCTGTTAGTAATGGGATTAGTAATACTAGGCTCTGACAGTAATGGGAAGGATCAGAGCTATCCCACATCCACCCCTCAGAGTCACAAACAGAAGGGAAGTGGAAAGCCGGAGCTCAGGCCTCGAGTCCAGTGAAGCACGTCAGAAATTTGCAGGAGCCAAAGCCATCTCATCGGACATGTTCTTTGGGCGGGAGGTGGATGCCGAGGTAAGTAGGGTTGTCCACCCTGAGCCTGGAGGCAGCAGGTGGAGTAAGAATTTCCTCCTTGCCACTGCTTTGGGCTTTAGCACCAGGGTGTCTTGGCCGATAAGGAGTGCTTGACTCATCGGCCAAAAGATCTCCAGGTCTTTCCCTTTCTTCACCACAGCATGAAGCCAGGTCTCGTCTCCAGCAGCTCTCGGGTAGTAGTGCCATCAGCTCTTCTGACCTCTTCGGGGACATGGATGGAGCTCATGGAGCAGGTAGGGCCCTGGCGGTAAGGTGCATGCCAGGCGAGGCCCGTGGGCAGAGCTGGAGGGCCCTGTGGGCTGGGAAGGGCTTCCTGCAGGGCTTCCAGACCACCCTTTCCCTTGCTTTTACAGGTAGCGTATCTCTGGGCAACGTGCTCCCCACAGCTGACATTGCCCAGTTTAAGCAGGGTGTCAAGTCTGTGGCCGGGAAGATGGCTGTGCTGGCCAATGGTGTGATGAATTCTTTGCAGGTGAGGCTGGGGCTGCTTGACCTGGGGCGGGAGGGTAAAGCGCTATAGAGTAGTGCTTGGGGGTTGGCCGCCTCCACCACATCCAGACACTGCTGCTGGGTAGCTCCTGAGCCTGAAAGAGAGCCTTTTCTTTTCCTGGAGAGGCAGCTTCCTTCCTTTGAGCTTGGTACCAGGGCTCGGCCTCCCTAAGATGCTGCCATGTCTGCACGGATTTCCACAGCCTTGTCACCTTACTTCTCTCTCTCCTCCCTCCCCAGCTTCGAGATTAGGCAGGGCTTCCCCCTTGGGACCTGGTCACAACCCCTTTCCTGAGTCACAATAAAATACAAAACAGTCTCTGCCATGTGAGATTGGTGCCCGATTCCCCGGAGAACCCTAGTCTTGCAGGGGCGTGTTGCAGGAAAGCTGCAGGTGAGAGACTGACTTTGTTTTTTCTTTCCCCATCCCCAGGATCGCTATGGTTCCTACTGATCCAGGTGCCACGGCTCAGGCATATGGTGGCGACAACAGCAAAACCCCCATGATTCCAAGGCCAGGGGCGCTTGCCTTGTGGAAGCTGGGGAGGAATTGTTACTTTATATGTGTTGTGTGTGAGTGGGGTGGCCTTTGAGGATCTCGGGTGAGGGGGATGGGTGGTTCCAGCCTTGACCTCAGCCTGTAGACTGAGCCCTTTTATTCTCCTCCCCTCACACCCCCTCCCCGTGTGCTAGATTACTGTCCTCTGGTCCTGCCCCCAAGCTGCTGTTCGTCCTGCCACACTGGGAGCGAGGGGAGGAGTTTCCTCAGGAGGGTTTATTCTGGGCCCAGCCCTTCCCCAAGTAGGGAAAGTGAGAAGTGTAAGGCTTTTTGGCCAGCTCTAGGATCCTTCCAGGTTGTCTGGGGTTTGGTCCCCATCCTCTGGAACCAGTGGGCAGGTCTAGAAAGAGTTCTGCTATAGACCAGCCCCAGGGTAGGGAGGCTGCTCCAGTGGCCTCTTCTGGGTGCCAGGAGAGGGCAGGGGAGGGGAAGGACCTTCGTCTGGGCCTTCTTAAGGGCTAGAAACTTTACCCGCTACTGAAAGGTTTCATTTGGGATCAGACTTGAGGCCCGAGTGATCTTCTCCTGTCTCACCACCCCTTTTTACAGTGATCACTTGAGGGATACTTCTCCTGGGTGTCTCGGAGTCCTTCCATACCATCTATTGTGGAGCACAGGACCCTCTGTCCCTTCTTCCCCTGCTTGGTGTGGCCATGGTGGGTCTCATCTGCCCTGTGCCCTGCTCTGGATGCTGTGAGCGTAATGCTGGCCAAGGAAGCAGAGGACATGAGGGACAGAAACAGGCTCTTGGGGCTCAACTTTCTTCTGTGTCATCCTGGTCTTAGGGGGGCCTGGACAGCACCCCACCACTGAGAGCTTGAGGCACCTACAGAGCTGCACGCCTTGCCCCCTGGCCACTAGGCCATATACTGTGTCATCCTTGGTGCCATCTTCCCCTGCTGTGCTGACAGTCTGGGCCCACCTTGCCCCTGTGGGTTTGGGGTTGGGCTCCCAAGCAACACAGACCATTCTTCCCTACCCCCCCCCCCCCAAAGGGACTTGACTTTCTTTCTGGACTGTTTGTATTGAAACAGAGTGGTGTCAAATAAAGCCTTGACAGGGCCCAGGGCCACTGTTGATCTGAGTCAAGTAGTGTCCTCTCTGGATCCTTGCCTCCCTGCCCAGCGCAGGCCCCTGGCCTCACTCTCTGGGCTCCCACCGATATGGGCAGGGCGTCGGTGCTGAAGCTGAGGGCACTCTCTCCAGGGCCTCCAGCTTGTCTCTTCTCTGAAAGCCAAAGTCCCCTGGCTCCTTGGCCCTGTGCTGCCGCGAGGTCCGGTGCAGCCTCGACCTCACCACCCTGTTGCACGCGGAGGAAAGAGCTGGTGTTAGTTGGCCCTTTAACTCATCTACTGAGCCATACTGCTGTGGGCAGGTGAGCAGCCTAGCAGCTCTGGACCTCATCCCAGCAGTCGGCTTGACTGGGGTGTGTTTCTCAGTGGAGTTTAAAGACAAATGAAATGTACAGCCTTAATGGAACCATTTTAAATCCAGGAAGAAAGGGTGTGTGTGTGTATTACCCCCGGGCTTGGCAACTCTTTTCCCTTGTAGGGACTCCTGGAATACATATGGCACCTTAGGGGTCCTCAGGGTACAGGTATAAACCACTGGTCTGGGAGATGGATGATTAGAAAGGATGGGCAGAGGGGGCCATGGGGACTTTTAATTACTGATTTCCAAAGTGTGGGTCTGGGCCTCCGGCTCTGGAGTCCTCTGGAGGGTTCGTAATCCAGAGTTCTGTGCCCCACCGCAAGCTGGAACTTGGTTAACTTGCATCGTAAACAAGCTCCCCATGTGATTCGGATGCACACCAGGATTTCTGAGCTATCAGCCAGAGGCTGGAGAGGAGGATGGGCCTGGAGAGTTCACGTGACTCGGAGCTTCAGTAGGACTGGAACTTCCAGCTCTGGCCTGGCACTCCAGGGCTCTGGGAGCCAGTTCCTGAAACTATTTAGGGGGGGGCTTGTCTGGGCAGGGATGAGCCCAGGATAATGTGTGTGCCCAGTGAGATGACCCCTGGCTTAGGAGGCAGGCTGCTCTGCTTGGGTCCCTGAGTGGCTTTTACTTTCTAGACAACTGCCCATTTCAGGAACTTGAAGACCACCTGTCCTTAACCTTCCTCCAGTCTTGGCTGGAAGCTTGTCTTCCTCAGGCCTGTCCACGGCTGCATCCCCACTGTCCCAGTCTCGAGCAGCTGCTTAACAAATGTTTAATGAAACTCTGGCTAGAAGACTCTGCAGTGCTAACCCTTTGGGGTCAGCGTCTTTCGAGTTCTGAACCTGGCCTCGAACCCTCTGGGCTTGTTTTCTGAAGGCCCATTCCAGGTGTGAGCATCTTTCCTCTGAGAGGCTGCTGTCCTGTGCCCGAGTTGAATCCCTCTTGGCTCATTTGAGGCTCGTCTCCAGGCTTGAGTGGTCCTCTGGCCCCTGCCTCCCAGTCCTGCTAGGATAGCTGGGACTCAGCACCCAAAACCCAAACTCACCCCTTCCCTTCACCCGCTCAGTGTAGTGGCTTTAGACTCACCACTTACTGGATACAAGGGACTTTATTCATTTAACATACTTAACTATTAGACACAGAGGAGACTTGAAGCAGTTTTTGAAAGTGGAATTGTCTTCTTGCCTACCCTTCATCGTATCATGGTAGTGGCTCTTCCTCCAGCAGAAGGCCACCATGTTTATGTCCACCCCATACTTGCATCACTGGTGTTGCCCTTGACCATGCAAGGCCCTGCATGGTTATTCATGGTCTCTCCCCTTCCTGGAGTTGCTGTGAGGAGACCACCTTTATGCGGGGACTGTCAGCAAAAGACTAAAGCCAAGTCACCTCCTGGTGGCTTCAGCTCAGTCTGCTGTCAGCTTGGGGCCTGCCTAAAGCACAGAGGCTGACAGGGCCAAGGAGAGTAGGCTGTTACTTTTCAGGGTCACTGCTTGGCTTGGCTGATACCAGAACCCCTCTGGCTGGTCTTTGGGCTTAGGCTGTTGTTATTCAAGCTTTTCACCAGCAGAGGGCAGCATGGCACAGGAGTGGGAGAGGAGGATGGCTGGGAGTCCCAAGGGCTAGGTAGGTGGGAGCTGGATACAGGCGTTGTGGACAGGACCCTTCAGACTCAAGTCTCGGACTCGTCCGTCTCTTCAGTGGAGCCATCGCTCTCTGCATCCATCTTGCGGGCATGATGGAGGGGTCTCCAGGGGGAGCCAACCCGGGGAGGGGTTCGGGAAGGCAGGCAGCTGGCCTCTGGATTGGCAGTGGCCGAGTTGACCAGGCCTGGGATCTGGACAAGCCTGAAGGAGGGAAGAAGCCCAGAAGGCAGCCAGGTGCTTCCTCTCTAGAGACCAGGACCTTCATGCTCACTCTTGAATCTGGATGAAACCATGGGCTGTATTCCCAAAGGACTCAAAGAGAGGCTACCTCAGGCCTCTGCTAGCGCCCAAACCCTTCCCTGAATGATGGGGATGTTGCGGACAAGCACCGTCACCCACAATAGGACACTGCCAGGTCCGACTGAGGTATAGCCTTCCCACAAGGGGGCAGCCTCTTCCCACCTGACACTTACAGTCGTTCCAGCTCCTCATCCATGGCTGGGTCGTGCATTAGGTCTCCTTTGTCAGGCAAAGCTCCTAGGACAAAATTGGGGGGCACAAAACTTACTCTGAGTGTCTTTCAGGCAGGCTCCAGTCAGCTCCATTCCCAGCAGGTGCCTCCATGCCCTTCACCTTCATGTCTACCTACTCTGCTGACCCGGGGAGGGCTGATCTAAAAGATTTAAGAAAGAGCTCTTTCTAAAAAAAATTTAAAGTAGGTTCCACACCCAGCATGGAGCCCAACTCAGGGCTTGAGCTCACGACTCTTGAGATCAAGACCTGAGCTGAGATCAAGAGTTGGACACAACTGACTGAGCCCCTTGGTGCACCCTAAGGTGTCCCTTAAAAAAAAATTCTTTTTAGGGGCGCCTGGGTGGCTCAGTCGGTTGGGCGGCCGACTTCAGCTCAGGTCACGATCTCGCAGTCTGTGAGTTCGAGCCCTGCGTCGGGCTCTGTGCTGACAGCTCAGAGCCTGGAGTCTGTTTCAGATTCTGTGTCTCCCTCTCTCTGACCCTCCCCCGTTCATGCTCTGTCTCAAAAATAGATAAACGTTAAAAAAAAAGAGTCTAAAAAATTTTTCAAAAAAAAAAATTCTTTTTATTTTTAAGTATAGTTGACACCCAATGTTACATTAGTTTCAGGTGTACAACATAGTGGCTCACCGTCTCTACATGTTATGCTGTGCTTACCACGAGTGTAGCTACCATCTGTCACCATACAGCACTATTCTAGTATCATTGGCTGTGTTCCTTGTGCTGTATCTTTTAATCTCGTGACTTGTTCAAGGGGAAGAGCTCTTAAGAAAAGTTTAAAACGAGAACTGCTGTGGGGGCAGGAAGTTGGGGCTACTTATAAATTCAGTGAACCTGTGCCTACCCTCTCCAACTCGGGACAAGAATCACAGCTATGGGACATCCCCAAACCTCAAGGTCACTGCACCAACAGGGCAATCTCCTTCCAAGATTAGGTGGTGGGCTGTGAGCTGTGTAGGGGGCTCAGTTCCTTCCTTGAGTCCCCAGATACTGGGCTGAAAAGGAGCCAGAGACACAGAGTATGGGCCAGCTAATCCCCCCAAACCAGAAATTATCTAGTTTTGTGCCCCCAAATCAGAGTGACCTCACTTTGGAGACAGAATGGTTAATATTGGTGCCTTAGCTCCTCAAGATGGTCTCGGGGGTGAGAAGAGAAGACTGGGTCAGAATCAGACCAAAGTCTTGCATGGCGGGGAGCTGCCAGGTGGGGGTGGGGGCTGGGGGGTGGGATCTGCCTCATCTCTGCTCAGCCGCAATCTCTCTGAGCTGGTTCCCTCAGCTACAAACCAAAGGAAGTAATGCTTTGATACTGGGGATGGTGAGAGGAGACAGTCTTGGATATTCCTTGGAGCCGTTAACAGTGGAGGGAAGGGGGAGCTGAAGTCTGCAGATGGAAAGATTCTCGCCAGCAAACTGTTGAGGGGAAAAGCCCACTGGTGGTCAGGACATAGATTTGGCAGTTAACAATGCTGGTGTCCAGAAAGCCACAATCTTAAACTTACCATCTGGCTCCAGTCCAATTCCCTACTTTTCCAGAGCTTTTCAGATGATGCCTCCTGGCCCCTTTTGCTCTTCTTTAGTGGTTTTCAAAGTGTGTCCCTCAGAGCCCTCTCATTTTGTGTGCATGAATGTGTGTGTGTGTGGGGGGGGGGGCGGGTGCCTTGAGGACTAAGGAACAGGACAACCCTTCTCCACAACTGGCTCCACCCTGGGGATCTCCAGATCTCTAGTTCCTACACTGGAGATGCAGGTGAGGGCAATGCTTCTCTCCATCTCCCACTCAACCCAGCCCGGCATTAGTGTTGGTAAAAGTGGTTGACTGAGTGCCCTTTTTAAAGGCCCTAGAAAAAGCGAGCACGTGGGGTTAGTCCGGGCTGTGATCTTACCTAGTTAGCTTTTCCTTTCTCTTCCTATGAGCTGATTGGTGGAAAGGGAGGCAGGGCAGTCAGTTACCTAGGTGTATGAAAGAAACCCTAAGCCAACCCCACCCGCTGTCCCCTTACTCTTGACTTCTGACTCCTATTTGCCTTTCTACTCTGGTCCAGCTGGTGGTCTTGGCGACAGCGTCACTTAGCTGAGGCGTCCGTAGGCTCATGCACACCCCAAGCATCAACTCAGAATAACGAGGCTGCTAGGTAGCATCACGCCTCAGTGAGCCCTCCATGAGTCCTGCTGTGTGCATCCCGTGTGCATCCCCAGCAGGCTTCATACCACATAAGATCTAAAGCAACTAGTTTGTACTAGGCCTACAATGGCTGGCATTTAAAGAATGTTAAATTCCCTTCCCTTGACCCCATTCCCTCAAGTGGCTGGAGGAAGGGGAAGGTTATGTGTTCTTTGAGACTCAGGAACCTGGGGCCTCAAACACACCTGGATACCTCTTGAAGAGCGAGACAAATAACAATCCCTCCAGCTCTGGTGGATGGTGGCCGGGTGGCTCTTCCCTTGGGAGAGCAGCAGGTGTGAGAGGGAGAAGAGTGGGGTGGGTGGAGAAGGCCAACCAGTGAGAATAGACGACAGACAGGAAAAACTAGGCCAGTACAGTCCTCTCTCCCTGCCCCCCTTTTTTGCTCCCTTTCAGATTAATCAGGTTTTTT